GCAGGACTTTTGGTATTGAAAATGGGCCATGTAGGTCCACGTTTTGGTATAGCCCCCAATATAACGGCACCTCCCGATATTCGGTATTTTGATGATTTTAATGACATTATTCACCGGAATTGTTTCAAATTTGGTATTTGAAGTTCGTAATGGATACAACAGCCTAAGACAGAAAATTGTCTGTGCAGGTCCACGTCTTCGTATAGCCCCCATATAGCAGTACCTCCCGATATTCGGTATTTTGATGATCTTAGCGACATTTTTCAACTGAATCGTCTACTAGAAGTTCTTTCTAAGCACTTTACTCCCTGAAAGTGAAATGTCGGTACCTCTCGATATTCAATATTTTGACGATTTTAGATATTATTCAGCGGAGTTTTTTTCAAATTTCGTATTTAGAATTCGTATTGGGTACAACAGCCTATGACAAAAAATTGTCTGTGCAGGCCCACGTCTTCATATAGCCCCCATATAAAGGTACCTCCCGATATTCGGCATTTTGATGATTTTAGCGACATTATTCGCCGGAATTGTTTCAAATTTGATATTTGAAGTTCGCAATGGATATTACTGACAGAAAATTGTCTGTGTAGGTCCACGTTTTGGTATAGCCCCCATATAATAGTACCTCCCTATATTCGGTATTTTGATGATGCAGGTCAAGGACCCTAATATAACGGTTACATTCGGTATTTTTAGGATTTTAATAGAATTCTTAACGGATTTTATTTATTTTTGAAAATTGCCAAATTCGTTCCAAATGGTGGAGGGTATCAAGGTTCGGCCCGGCCGAATTTACACCTTTTTTTTTTCTTCATATCCTCGAAAATATTTTAATTCTAGTTCTTCGGTCGATGTTCAGAAGCTCAGAAGTACAGAAGTTTCTTTCAAAAATGTTTGTTCTGGGCTTCAACAAAAAAATTGTTTGTCTCTAATTTTTGTTCTTGTAGCTTTCCGAAAATCTCCTATATAAAAATTCTTCAAAAATATGAAATATATAATTTTAATTTATTTAATTATATTTTTAAGGCACGATATAATTCCTCAGCCGATTCTTATTAATGTTTCGTCAAGCTTAACATTACCACCTGACATTTTATCGCTCTCCAGGCCATAGAAAGCCGTGTCGTGACGACTTATATTATAGTAATCATAAATGGTAATTGAGGCTGGCTTGTGCAGGATCACATCATGCACCTTGTTGGCCAAAATATTCAAGCAATTCCGTACGTTCGCCGTCAACTTTTCAAAATAGATAACGAGGGTCTTCGTCTTCGTATTATCACCATATAACGTTACCTTCCAATATTCGGTATTTTGATGATTTTAGCGTCATTATTCACCGGACTAGTTTCAAATTACATATTTAGAGTTCGTAATAGGAACTACAGTCTGTGACAGAAAAATGTCTATGCAGGTCCATGTCTTCGTATTGGCCCCATATGTCAGTACCCCCCCTATATTCGGTATTTTGACGATTTTAGGTACAATACTCACCGAAATTGTTTGAGATGTCGTATTTGAAGTTTGTAATAGATGCTACAGCCTGTGGCAGAAAATTGTCTTTGCAGGTTCACGTCGGTATTTTGATGATTTTAGCTACATTTCAAGCTTCGTTTTTTTATATTATAATGGCTTATGACAAACAATGCCTATGTAGGCCAATATAACGGCTATACCTATGCCAATATAACGGCTAACTTCGTTATTTTTAAGATTTAAAAAAAATAACGGATTTTATTTTTTGAAAAATTCCAAATTCATTCCAAATGGTGGGGGGTATTCAAAGTTCGGCCCGGTCGAACTTACTGCTTTTTAACTTGTTTTATCTCAGCTTGTAGATTAAAGATTTTCTTTGAAGCGCCAACTCAAGGACTAGACCTATATGGACCGTCTCCAAACTACGTACAGTTTGATGGAAATATTTAATTTGATCATATCTCAAAATGTCGTCAATGATCATCATTATACTTTAAGATAACCCTTGAGGCATTTATTTCTGATGACCTGATTCCCCGCAGAAAAAAACAACGGGCCAAGGCGGGGTTCCCCCAAAAAGCAGTGACAAGTGTAATTACTAATTATTTATTGCTCCATTATATAAACAATGTCTATCGAATGACAAATGACATTTTTGACAAATATTTGTTTGTTTTGCTAAAATTATTCAATTGGTCTTTGTTTAACAGCGCTAAGTGTGTTATGAATGAATATTTTTGGCTTATTATAGTAACCGGTTTATTAGCCAAACTCCGTCTGATAAAAATAACAATTACACTGTGCAACACAAAACAAAATAATTACCGAAAAAACTCAAAAGAACAAATCAGAGCACTTTGATATAAGGGCCATTATACCCTCAGCCATATGGCTGCAGACGGTATATATCAAAGGCCAAAACTTGTCTTATCGAAATAAAGGTATTAGACTCTAGGTTCTTTGGACCAAACCCGTTTTCAGGACATTTGGAGTCTATCTAGGGGTGTCCATTTGTCCAACTGTCTGTCTGGCTGGTACGCACGATAACTCTCCAACGGAGTATCCGATTTGTTCCAAATTTGGTATATCGTAATATTAAAGTCAAAATTAGATCGAATTCGGAGATGGGCAATATCGGTTCACTCCTTCTGGTACACCCCCCACAACGGGTCAAAGCAAAGCAAGCAAAATAATTTAACGTATAGAACAAGAAAGGATCATCCTTTTTGCTGCAAACTTTTCCAATCCCAATATTTGTATTTGTGCTAGGTGCTAGGTGCGAAAATGGACAATATCGGTCCACTGCATCAAGTACCACCCCACAAAGGGTTACATTTTTGAATAATTATAACTCTAATTAAATGCGAAATAAAAGTCCGATTGTCTCCCAATTTCTAACATCCCAATATTTTTAGTAACACAAGAATTGTTGTGAAGATCGGATATATCGGTCCACAGCGGGTCAAAATTTGGAATAGCCATGAAACTCGTAAAAAAAAAAACTGGAAATAAGCATCCAATGCCTTTCAATCTCGACATATCTGAATATTTTTATCAACGCAAGAGTTGGTGTGAAGATGAGATATATCGGTACACTCCTTCTGGTACCTCCCCCACAAAGGGACAACGTTTTGAAAAACAGTTTTTCTTCAAATTTTATGTATCCCAATATTTTTACTAACGCAAGATTCGGCGTGAAGATGGATTATATCGGTCGACTCCTTCTTGAACCTCACCCACAAAGAGTCAAAATTTTGAATAGTTATAATTCCTATAAAATGTGATGTAAGAATCCGATTTCTTCAAATTACTCGCATCACAATATTTTTATCTGGTCTGGTGTATAGATGGGATATATCTGTCCACTCCATCAAGTACCTCCCCCACAAAGGATCAAAGTTTCGAATAACCAAAACGATTATAAAATCCGAAATAAGCATCCAATTCTCTTTATCCCATTATTTCTACTAACACAAGACCTGCTGTAAGAATGGGATATATCGGTCCTTCTGGTACCTCTCCCACAAAGAGTCAAAATTTTGAATACCCATGAAGCTCATAAAACGCGAAATTAACATTCGATTCCATTCAGACTTGGCACATCTCAATATTTCTATCGGCACAAGATCTGTTATAGAGAGGGTAGAGACGGAAAAAATTCCTTCTGCTCAAAGACTTGAATACCCAAAACGATTATAAAATCCGAAATAAGCATCCGGTTCTCTACATATTTCACACATCTCATTATTTATACTAATTCAAGATCTACTGTGAAGATTATAATCATCTGCGAACCCCTTCTAGTACCTTACCCACAAAGAATCACACAAAGGGTCACAATTCGTCTGTCAGTCTGTGGAAATCACTCTAGCTTCCGACCGAAAAGAAATAGATTTATAAAATTTAACTCAAATGTATATTATGTCTGCAGGACTTTTGGTATTGAAAATGGGCCATGTAGGTCCACGTTTTGGTATAGCCCCCAATATAACGGCACCTCCCGATATTCGGTATTTTGATGATTTTAATGACATTATTCACCGGAATTGTTTCAAATTTGGTATTTGAAGTTCGTAATGGATACAACAGCCTAAGACAGAAAATTGTCTGTGCAGGTCCACGTCTTCGTATAGCCCCCATATAGCAGTACCTCCCGATATTCGGTATTTTGATGATCTTAGCGACATTTTTCAACTGAATCGTCTACTAGAAGTTCTTTCTAAGCACTTTACTCCCTGAAAGTGAAATGTCGGTACCTCTCGATATTCAATATTTTGACGATTTTAGATATTATTCAGCGGAGTTTTTTTCAAATTTCGTATTTAGAATTCGTATTGGGTACAACAGCCTATGACAAAAAATTGTCTGTGCAGGCCCACGTCTTCATATAGCCCCCATATAAAGGTACCTCCCGATATTCGGCATTTTGATGATTTTAGCGACATTATTCGCCGGAATTGTTTCAAATTTGATATTTGAAGTTCGCAATGGATATTACTGACAGAAAATTGTCTGTGTAGGTCCACGTTTTGGTATAGCCCCCATATAATAGTACCTCCCTATATTCGGTATTTTGATGATGCAGGTCAAGGACCCTAATATAACGGTTACATTCGGTATTTTTAGGATTTTAATAGAATTCTTAACGGATTTTATTTATTTTTGAAAATTGCCAAATTCGTTCCAAATGGTGGAGGGTATCAAGGTTCGGCCCGGCCGAATTTACACCTTTTTTTTTTCTTCATATCCTCGAAAATATTTTTAATTCTAGTTCTTCGGTCGATGTTCAGAAGCTCAGAAGTACAGAAGTTTCTTTCAAAAATGTTTGTTCTGGGCTTCAACAAAAAAATTGTTTGTCTCTAATTTTTGTTCTTGTAGCTTTCCGAAAATCTCCTATATAAAAATTCTTCAAAAATATGAAATATATAATTTTAATTTATTTAATTATATTTTTAAGGCACGATATAATTCCTCAGCCGATTCTTATTAATGTTTCGTCAAGCTTAACATTACCACCTGACATTTTATCGCTCTCCAGGCCATAGAAAGCCGTGTCGTGACGACTTATATTATAGTAATCATAAATGGTAATTGAGGCTGGCTTGTGCAGGATCACATCATGCACCTTGTTGGCCAAAATATTCAAGCAATTCCGTACGTTCGCCGTCAACTTTTCAAAATAGATAACGAGGGTAGTTTCATCATTTTTCGATTCGAGCCTTTGAATAATTTCATTTTCCAACAAATCACTACTGTCCTCGTCGTTGGTGGTAAAACCGGATGGCAGATTCACCTCCATAATGATCATATTGGTGGCTCCGGCGACAGCAGATTTTTCGCCTTTATAGCTGAAACAAATTTCCAAAAACATTTCCTCAGGGTTTAGCATTTTTGTTTTCGGTTCTATGCGAAAATGTTGATAATTTTCATCGTTCACCACATAATAATGATAAGACAGCTGTAGCAAGGAATTCCCCTGGCCACTGGCTTCTATCTCCACGGCACGGGTGTTTCGGGGTAGCTGGAAAAAGAAAAATTGAAATAAAAAATCTGTTTAAAAAAACAAATATTTCAAGTATTTGACATAAATATGTCCTAAAATTCTACGAAATTCGAGAGTTACTTTTGAGGATCTTCATAGAATCTCTTTCTGAGTCGATTTATGCATGTCAGTCCGTCCGTCTGTCCATGTATTCTTGTGAACAAAATGCAGCTCGCACTTATTATCCGATTGTGAGGAAGTTTTCCAAACAATTTTTGTCTGGCCCAAGGAGGAACCCTATTGAAATTGGTGATAATCGGATCAGATTTAAAAATAGCTCCTATATATCTTCCACCGATTTCGGGTTAATTGTGCCAATATAAGTCCAAATGGCCTGAATTTCGGCACCTCCAACCGAATTCAGTCTAGAAGCAAGTACATCAAGTCGAATGATGAAAATCGGTTCAGATATAGCTATAGCTCCCATATATATGTTTCATGCGATTTGGTAATTAAGTCCCTCATATTCGTAATACGCATTCGACAACAATGATATTCGATACCGGATATCATATACAGTCCAGAAATACCTCCGCCGAATTGTATCAAGATCGGTTCGGATTTGGATATGACTTCCATATTTCAATTTCGGGTTAAATGGCCAATATCAGTTCAAATGCCTTGAATTTTGGTACATCCGACCGAATTTCAGGTTTATTGTGTAATGGCTAATATCAGCCCAAATTGAGTGAATTTAGGGACGTACGTTTCAGGTCAGCTGAAAATGTGCTCCTTCGGTTGGTCACAAGAACTCAAGCGCTGGCCATGGTGATGGTGTGGGCCTCAATAACAGCCGATGGTCACTCTCCACTCGTATTAATCGACCGTGGCATCAGAATAAATGCCGAATATTATCGCGAAAATATTCTGGAGGGTGTATTAAAGCCTTGGGCATGCAAACATTTCCAATTTGAAAGACCATATTCCGATATATTATCTTCGACTTGATCTTTCAATCTAATTCTTGGCCTTCCCATTCTGCGTGAACCATTAGTAGGCTCGCTTTTATATGCCTTATGAGTTTGGGCATCCTTTTCCATTCGCACTACATGGCCTAGCCACCGTAGTCGCTGCAGCTCGATACTTCTGACTATGTCGATGCCCGTGCATAGATGGTTTAGCTCGTGGTTCATTCGATGTCGATTTTCACCGTCGTGGCATCAGAATAAATGCCGAATATTATCGCGAAAATATTCTGGAGGGTGTATTAAACCCTTGGGCACGCAAAAATTTTGGCCGCAGACCTTGGACATTCCAATAGGACTTAGTACCATTGCACTCAGCACGCGCCACCCAAGAATTGTTACAAAATGAGGTTCCCCGCCTAATTTCCAGCGCACAATGGCCACCAAAATCTCCGGATACCAATCCGTTGGACTGTTGTGCCTGGAATATTTTGGAGAGAAAGGTTGGCACTAAAAAATATCAAAGTGTCGATGACCTCAAGCAAGCACTTCTCCGGGAATGGGCCAAAATACCGCAGAGTAACATTCGGACAGCGTGTGACGGTTTCATTTGCCGTTTGAAGACTATAATTCGTGTCAAAGGTGAGCAATTCTAAACTTATTCTACAATTTGGTGCTATTTCCGACATTTTTTGCTTCCGCTTTCTTGACGCCGGGCTACGCTACAAGTATCACGGTAACGAGCGATGGTACGAGACACAAAAGATTTATTCACATTTAAATGCTGGAGTGCTCTGACGATAGCCACTTGCGCTTTTCAAGCCAAATATAAAGAAATCACACTATCACGCTTGAATTCCATCACGAATAACTTTTTTTCAGGAACATTCTCACCAAAATGCTTTTGTACGCTTGTAAACAATATAATGAGCTGTCACTTGAATAATTTGAACAGCTGTCGGACGAGTGGCTTATAAATGGCAGCAGTCTTAAGTTGGTTGCAGTTTTTTCATCTCACCAGTATTTCCTAGTAATTCCTAAATTTGAAGTCCTTCCTACCATAAAATTTAGTTAAGGATTATTATCCAAGTTTCCGGCTGTGAAAGTCCTTAAATATTTTTAAAATTTCTGGATCTGATAGTATGCCAAAAATATTTTTCAAAAAACCTGATTTTAGCCCTGTTAACTCCTTAAGAAATATTTTTAAAATTCCAAAAATTTTGCCTGCTCAAAAAAATTTTCTAAAGATCTCTCCTACTGCCATTATTCTCCTATAAAACAATTTTAAATTTGAATATATCTCTCTTGTATTTAAAATGTCTCGCAGAATAACTCACCTCTTCAGTTTGCAAGATCATCACATTATTGCTGTCCACCACAATTTCACCGGATTTCAACGACTCGGCCTTATGATTTTTCGCCGTGTATTTTACCCGGACATTTAAATTTGCAATCGAGTTATATTTCATGGAATATTTAACCAAGGCCTGCAGACCCACCACAGTGTCGTGGGTAGACTTAAAGCCACCGCGTTCATTTCGCTGTTCTGTCAACCATTTGAATATGTTTTTAGTGGATTTTGAATCGGCATTGGCCTCCAGCATTGCCATCAAAACATAGGCAGTTATTTCAACATCCTTGGCATTGTTGTGATCGCTCTGAGACCACCAAACTCTGTCGTCGGACATTTGTTTGAATTTCATAAGTTTTTCAAGGACTTTTGTGGCACTCGAATGCCTAGCCATTTGGAGTGTGAGAGCCATAATGGAGAGAGCGTAGACATCGTCTGTTTTATCTACGCTCTCATCGAGAAACTTTAATCCTTTTTCGATTGCTGTCTTATATTTTTGGACATATTTCTGAAAAAGGGAAAGAAAGGCATGAAAATTATTGTATACATAGAAATAATAAATAATAAGTAAAATGAAAAAATAATAATTATTTTATTTACGAAGCGAAAAAATAAATATAAAATTTTGACCGCATTAAAAATCCTCTGAGAAAAATATATTCTGAAAAAATATATTTTTAAATAATAATTTAAAAAAAATAATAAAAATGATGGAAATAGAGCTAGCAAGTAAAATAACAGTAAATTCGGCCGACCAAAACTTTGAATACCCTCCACCATTTAGAAATTTTCAAAAAAAATAACATTCGCTAAAAATTCTCTTAAAAACTTTAAAATTCCGAATATTGGGGTCTATACGACGACATGGACCTGCATAGGAAACTTTTGTCATAAGCCATTACAATATTCAGATGCGAAACTAGAAAACAAAAATTCGATGAATTCGCTAAATTCATCAAAGTACCGAATATCGGGATATACCGTTATATGGGGGCTATACCAAAAAGTGGACCTGCACGGGCAATTTTCTGTCATAGGCTGTAGTATCCATTACAAACTTCAAATAACAAATTTAAAACAATTCTGATAAATAATATCGCTAAAATCATTAAAATACCGAATATCGAGAGGTACCGTTACATGGGGGCTATACGAAAACGTGGACCTGCACAGACAATTTTCTGTCATAGGCTGTAATATCCATTACGAACTTCAAATACAAAATTTGATCATTCTTGTGAGGTGCCTATTACGAATGTGGGGGACTTAAACACGAAATTGGATGAAACATATATATGGGAGCTATAGCTATATCTGAACCGATTTTCTCCGAATGTCTTATTTCTAAATTGAATTCGGTCGGATGTGCCAGGTCATTTGAAATGATATTGGCCATTTGGTACACAATTAACCCAAAATCGATTGAAGATATATATGGGAGCTATATCCAAATCTGAACCGATCTTGATAAAATTTGGCAGAGGTATTTCTGGGCTGTATCTGATATCTGGTACCAAATATCATTGTTTTCAAATGCATATTACAAATGTGAGAGACTAAAACACCAAATCGGATGAAACATATGGAAGCATATGGAAACCGATTTTCACCAAAATTTTAAGCACTTGCTTTTAGGCTGAATTCCGTCGGAATTGCCAAAATTCAGTCCATTTGGACTTGTATTGGCCATCAGTTGAAGATATATGGGAGCTATATCTAAATCTGATCCGATTATCACCAATTTGAATGGGGTTCGTCCTTGGGCCAAACCAATATTGTTTGGAAAATTTAAGCTCAATCGGATAATAAATGCGATCTGTATTTTGTTCATAAGGATACATGGACGGACGGACGGACTGACATGCATAAATCGACTCAGAAAGTAATTCTACGAATATCCTCAAAAGTAACTATGGCTCTGTCTCGCTTCCTTCTCCCTGTTACAAACAAATGCACAGAGTAGTACATGTATACAACAACTCCTCAGCGGTCCTCTTTCAAAATTTTAAATTTCTAGCTCTATCCCTTTTTTAAAAATTCACCATTTTGGTTTTTCAAAATTTTATTTTGGAAAAATCCAAAATTTAATTTTTCTTCTAAATCGACATTGAAAACCTGAAATGCATATTTACCGCATCCTCCAGGAATGTCATCAGAACAAAGGCCGTAAATCCAAAACGATTCTGTTGTGCCGGATAGAACACATAACCGGTATAGGGAAAACTGCCATCCATGTGTTGAGTGCTGGCGAGGTATGAGAGACCACTCTCAACGATGTGCGCTTCCATGGATAAATATTTTGCAGATTTTATAAAAAATCGCACAATATAGGCCGTCAACCATGTACTGGGTTCGGCATCTCGACTTGGGCCAAAAACACTGTAACCTCCATTCCCATGACGATATGACATCTGTTGTTGGAAACCAATTTCAATATAACGTTTCGCCTTGGCTGCCAAGGATCGTTCCTTGCCATATTTACCCGTTGCCCTTAAATATTGCAGCACCAAAACGTTTGGAGCAAAATTAACCATATTTTGTTCGGCACAACCTGTGGGCATGGCCACCAGATCATTGAGATTCTTTAGGGTAGGTGCAATATTATCACCGCCCATTGTTAGGGTAATAAATTCCGAATCGGGCACTATGTCGGTGGGAATGTGTAGGGGAAAAGTGGCCTCCACTCGTTCTTCGGGCATGGCATTGATGTATAGCACCTTATTTTGTTGTTTCCTTACACCTTCCGGTTCCACTTTGAGTTTTTGTTCCACAGCATCGGATGAGAGGCGTGTTGTTGCTGTAATACGAAGTTTCAACTCGCCCACCTGCCGGGGGTTTATCAAAAAGGAGACAGTACTAACATTGTTCGCCGTAACTGTGTGCCGCTTGATTCTCATCTTGTCCGTCGAACCTTCGTCGGCATTGAAAATAGACGATTCCATGAAATAAAATTCGGAATCTTCATTGAAGAGCGTAATTTCGGTTTCTAAACTTTCGTCATGGTAGTTGTGCACCAGCACCGGTATGCTGACAATTTCACCGCGCTTCACCGCGTACGGTAAATTGAGATTGATGAAAAACGGTTGTATGGTGGTGATATCCGTCGGACCTTCGACAATACCAAAACCGGTTTTTTCATTTACCGAAAATGCCGTAACGCGCCATGTCGTGATGGTGTCGGGGATATTTAAGGAGATTTTTGTGATGTCATTGGTTCTGGAATGAATGATTGGTGAGAATTAAAGAGCTATATCCATTTATATATAAAAATCTGAAGCTAGAATCTTGAAATTTTGTGTTTTTTGGAAATTCGTACCAAAAGTGTACGAACTGTACTAAAATGTACTAAAAGTTAAATACTTTGTATTGGACAAACGAAATGACTTGGAATTCCGAAATTTTGAATTAGATTCAATGATGAAGTGTAGGATAGATGTAATAAAGGATTTTTTGAAATTTGAACTCTAAAGTTACGAAATGTACTAAAATTGTACTAAACTTCTAAAATGGTATCATTTGGTGTAATATGAACGGTTAGCGCTAAAAGCATGAAATTTGGTATGAGAATCAAGGTTGGAAGGAAGATTTAATATATGAAGGGCAGTTTTGGAAATCTGTACTAAAGTACGCGACCTGTACGAAATGGTACTAAATTTGAAACAGTTTGGTATCGGGAGGGACTGGTGAAGCTGGAGTTTTAAAATTTTATATTGGAGTCCCCATCGGTAGAAGGTTTGCGATAAATAAGTGCTTTTGGAAATGTGTTCTACAAGTGCTCGAAAAGTACGAAATAGTACTATTTTTGGTACAATTTGTTATTGGGCGAAGAGATAGTACTAGAAATTTAAAATATGGTATTAGGGTGGCTGTTATGTGTAGCCTGGACATATGGAGGTGGTATAGGGAATGTGTACCATAATTGTACGAAATGTACTAAATGGTACTAAATTTGGTAGTGTGGGAAGGGATGGGACTGGAATTTTCAAATTTGATATCGAGATCTCTATTGGTATTTGGAGGTTGTTTTGGAAATGAGTACTACAATTGTACGAAAAGTACTAAATGGTACTAAATTTGGTAATGCCTGATGGGATAGGGCTGCCATCCCGTCATTTCACATTAAGGTCTCTGTTGTTGTCTATAATTGAGATATTGAGGTGTTTTGGAAATGTATATTATAATTGTACGAAAATCAATAAATAGTACTAAATTTGGTAAGGTGAAGGGATGGACCTGAAATTTGATACAGATGTCACTCTGTTGGTGTCTGAAGTTGAGAAAGGGAGCTGGTTCTGGAAATGTTTACTATAATTGTGCAAAAAGTTCTAAGTGGTACTAAATTTTGGTATTGAGTGAATGTGAAGATATGGAGGTGGCTTTGGAAATGTGTACTATAATTGTACGAAAAGTACTAAATGGAACTAAATTTGGTATTGGGTGAAGGATTAGAGTTGTAATCCTAAAATTTTATATAAATATCTGTGGCTAAGATATGGAGGTGATTTTGGAAATATGCACTAAAATTGTTCGAAAAGTACTAAGTGGTACTAAATTGGGTCTTGGTTGAAGGTATAGATCTGAAGTCTCGAAATTTGATACTGAGTTCTCTGTTGGTACTGCGATCGCCCAATTTGGTATTGGGCGAAGAGGTAGTGCTGGAAATTTGAAATTTTGTTATGAGGGTAGCTCCTTATGTGTAGCCTGGACATATGGTGGTGGTATCGCAAATATACGATAAGTATTAAATGGTACTAAAGTTTGTATTGGGTAAAGGGTTAGAGTTGTAATCCTGAAATTCGATATAAATGTCACTGTTGTTGTCTTTGGTTAAGATATGAAGATAGTTTGGGAAATGTGTACTAAAGTTGTTCGAAAAGTACTAAGTGGTACTAAATTGGGTATTGGTTGAAGATATAGAGCTGGAATCTCGAAATTTAATACTAAGGCCTCTGCTGGAATATGTAATTGAAATGTGGAGAAGGTTTCGGAAATGCCTACTATAATTGTACGAAAAGTACTAAATGGTACTAAATGAGGGAAGGGAGAGAGCTGGGTGAAGGGATAGACCTGGAATCTCGAAATGTAATACTAAGGCCTCTGCTGGAATCTGTAATTGAGATGTGGAGGAGGTTTCGGAAATGTCTCATATAATTGTACGAAAAGTACTAAAAGGTACTAAATGAGGAAAGGCAGAGAGCTGGGTGAAGAGGTGGAGCTGGAATCTCGAAATTTAATACTAAGGCCTCTGCTGGAATCTGTAATTGAAATGTGGAGAAGGTTTCGGAAATGCCTACTATAATTGTACGAAAAGTACTAAATGGTACTAAATGGTACTAAATGAGGGAAGGGAGAGAGCTGGGTGAAGGGATAGACCTGGAATCTCGAAATGTAATACTAAGACCTCTGCTGGAATCTGTAATTGAGATGTGGAGGAGGTTTCGGAAATGTCTCATATAATTGTACGAAAAGTACTAAATGGTACTAAATGAGGGAAGGGAGAGAGCTGGGTGAAGAGATGGAGCTGGAATCTCGAAATTTAATACTGAGGTCTCTGCTGGAATCTGTAATTGAGATATGCAGGTTGTTTCGGAAATGTCTACTATAATTGTACGAATATTACTAAATTGTACTAAATGCGGGAATGGAGAGAGCTGGATGAAGTGATGGAGCTGGAATCTCGAAATCTAATACTGAGGTCTCTGCTGGAATCTGTAATTGAGATATGCAGGTTGTTTCGGAAATGTCTACTATAATTGTACGAAAAGTACTAAAAGATACTAAATTTAGTAATGCAAGAAGTGAGAGAGCTGGGTGAAGGGACAGAGCTGGAATTTTGAAATTTTATACTGAGGTCTCTGCTGGAATCTGCAATTGAGAAGTGGAGGAGGTTTCGGAAATGTTTACTACAATTGTACGAAAAGTACTAAAATGTACTAAATTTGGTTATTCGGGAAGAGATAGGGCTGGAATACTCGATTTTGATATAGAGGTCTCTGTAGGTGTCTGTAATTGAGATTTGTAATATAATTGTACAAAAAGTACTAAATAGTACTAAATTTGGTATTAGGTTAATGGATAGGCCTGGAATTCTCCAATTTAAAAGTGAAGGTTCGTTTGGTACCTGGTGATCCTGGTTTTCCAAAAGCTTACTATAATTGATCGAAACGTACCAAATAGTACTAATTGTGGATCTCTGTTTGTGAGGTGTTGATTTTTTTCGATATGCGTTCTAAATATTTCTTAATTTCGTATTGGGTGAAAGGATAAGGCCGAAATTCTGACATTTGATGTTGAGATCACTGTTGTTTTCTAGGATTTATATATGGAGCAGATGAAATAATTTTGAACAGAAAAATTGAATGTGAGTTCATTGTGCCATGGTTCTATTAGTTTTCTCCTCGGTAAATTTCAAAATGAAAAATTTAACTTACATTTCATAGTTCTCAAAAATCCATGTTTCGGGAAATTTTCTACGAAATTTAAGGGGTGTATTTGCGGCTGGACTATATGCCTTAAAACCTACAAGAATGTTAGAAAAAATTATTTTGTTTTTTCAATTTAATAACACCCCACTTACCATTTAATGGCACAAACTTGTAATGGGCATTTGTGAACGTAATCACCCCCGACAAATATCCAGGATAGATCAGGGCCTGAAAAGCTACCCCAGATGTGTCGTACAACAACGAATACAAAATGGGCCATTTATTCAAATCATATGTTGAGTCCAAAAGATATACACCCAAATCTACAGCCAAAATGCCAACATATGATTTTGGTTGGGCAGCCAGCTCAAGGGTAACCTCTTGGCCGGGTTTGACTTGTTTGGGCGCCATTATTGAAACCTGTAACGAGCAGCATGTTTTTTCGTATAAACCTAACGTATTTGAAAAACTGACTTACCTTGTTTTCAAACTCCAATGGAAATTTCAATTTGATTTCCTCGTAACGTAAATTACCATCATCAATGTAGTGCACATAGACAAAGGCGTAGGGTACCATCTCTATGGAGGGAATTATTTCGATGACGTAGTCTTTCTGGCTTGGCGAGAAATTTACACGATCACAAATTATTATGTTGGCATGGGCAACAATCGTATATACCAAATATGGCATGTCCTTTGTGGAGACTACTTCAAGTCTGACCGGGGTGTCCAAACGAAGACTGGAAAGGAACAATTAGAAGACAAGACCGTAAAAATAAAGGTTGAAATGTAAGATTAATATACGAAGATGGGGTGGGAAATGTGTACTAAATGTGAGAACTGTACTAAATGGTGCACGGACGAACTGTATTGGAATTGCTGTTGATAGTAGGTTAGCTGGTTTCGGAAATGTGTACTATGATAATAGCACTATATAATTGTACGAAAAGTACTGAATAGTACTATGATTGGTACAATTTAGTATTGGGTAAATATATAGTTCTTGAAATCGGAATTTGGTAGCAGGGCCGCTGTTCATGTGCAGCCAGGACATATGGAGTTGATGTCGGAAATGTGTACTATAATTGTACGAATCGTACTGAATGGTACTATATTTGGCATTGGGTAAAGGGATTGAGATAAAATTCTGAAATATGATATTTAGAGCACTGACGGTACCTGTGTTTGAGATTTTGCCGTTGTTTGGAAATGCGTAATATATTTGTACGAAAAGTACTAAATGGTACTAAATTTGGTATTGGGTGAAGGAAAAGGGCTGGAATCCTCAAAATTGATATTGAGGACTCTGTTGGTATATGGAATTGAGGTATTGAGGTGGTTTCGGAAATATGTACGGAAAGTACTAAATAGTTCTATGATTGGTACAATTTGGTACTGGGTGTACAGATAGTTCTTGAAATCTGAATTTGTACAAAAAGTACTTAATAGTACTAAATTTGGTATTGGGTGAAGGGATAGAACTGAAGACCTCAAATTTGTTGTTAAGGACCTTAAGGTCTTTTATTGCCTATAGAAGACCTTGAGGCCTCATATTGTCTCTAGAAGACCTTGAGGTCACCTATTCTATTGTCTCTAGAAGACCTTGAGGTCTTCTATTGTCTATAGAAGACGAAGGTCATCCATTGACTATAGATGATCACTGATCAGTGATCTAATGACTATAGACGACCTTGAGGTCTTCTTTAGTGTATAGAAGATTATCTTTTGTTGAGATTCTCTATTGTCTATAGAAGACCTTGAGGTTTCCTATTGTCTATAGAAGACGAAGGTCATCCATTGACTATAGATGATCACTGATCAGTGATCTAATGACTATAGACGACCTTGAGGTCTTCTTTAGTCTATAGAAGACCTTGAGTTTTTAAATTGTCTCTAGAAGACCTTGACGTCTTCTTATCTCTCTAGAAGACGTTGAGGTCTTCTTTTCCCTCTAGAAGACCTTGAGGTCTTCTATTGTCTCTCGAAGACCTTGAGGTCGTTTTTTGTCTTTGAAGACCTCGAGGTCTTACATTGTCTGTAGAAGGCCCTGAGGACTTCTTTTGTCTATAGAAGACCTTGAGATCTTATATTGCCTATAGAAGACCTTGAGGTCTCATATTGCCAATAGAAGACCTTGAGATCTTCTTCTGTCTATGGAAGACCTTCAGGTCTTCTTTTATCTATAGAAGACCTTGAGGTCTTCTATTGTCTATATGGAAATCCTTGAGGTCTTCTAAATCTAAATCCTTCTTCGTCTACAGGAGACCTTGATGTCTTCTTTTATCTATAGAAGACCTCTTTAGAAGACCTTAAGGCTTTCTATTGTCTCTAAAAGACCTTGAGATCTTCAATTGTCTCTCGAAGACCTTAAGGTCTTTTTTCGTCTCTCGAAGACCTTGAGGTCTTCTATTGTCTCTAGAAGACCTTGAGTTCTTTTGTTGTCTATAAAAGACCTTAAGGTCACCTACTGTCTGAAGAAGACTTAGAGGTCTGCTATTGTCTCTATTGCCTCTAGAAGACCTTGAGATCTTCTATTGCCTCTAGAAGACCTTGAGATCTTCTATTATCTCTAGAAGACCTTGAGGGCTTCTATTGTCTCTAGAACACCTTGAGATCTTCTATTGTCTCTAGAAGACCTTGAGATTTAAAAATCGAATATTATACTTACTCCTCATTCACAACGCGCAGCTCAAAATACGATTCAGTTTTGTTCGTCGTCAACGGTTCATATTCGAAAATATTCGACAGCGTGTATGTTACGTTTTTGTAGTTAAATACATGATTCGAGTTCTTCTCATGCTCAAACTGAAAGACTGCCTCGCCTCTGCTATCCAAATAGGCGCTATACTCCCTGGCGCCATGTTGCATCCGTACCGGCACCTTGTGATCTTCAATGGCTGATCCATCCCAATTTTTAGCGGTAAGTTTCAGACGATATGGTTTATTTTTGGCGAATACTATAGAGTCCGAATCGACATACATATTGAAGGGGTTCTTGTGCACCCCAATGTGGGCACTATCACTTCGAGTAATCCCCGTATGTTTTTCAGTCAATTCGGCAATGAGACGCATACTTATCCCAAGCGGCAGTATTGGATGATTACTCACGTCGAACGCAACTTCGAGTCTATCTTTTAGATAGAATTCTTTTTCCTCTAAGACCGAATCATTTAGGTTCTCCACCAGCTTTAACTTTACGTCACCCTCAACATATTTCTCAAAGGTGTACTTGCCGTATATCACGGCATTAATGGTCTTTTTGCCCGGAATCAGGTCTCCATCGGTTTCAATGTAAACGCTGAATTTGGGCAGGACATATTTTTGCACTCGAAAGCGTTTGGTATGGCTGTAATCATACTTGCCGCTAATATAGACCTTTATATACCAATCACCCATAACTGGATACTGCGAGAGCTGAAACTTGTTTTTGTAGACACCCTTCACCAGGGCAATGTCTTTGAATTGTTTAACACGGTTGTCTTTGCCATCCTACAAAAAGGAAAAGGTAGGAAAAAATTATTTTTTTCAGAAAATAATGATTATGATTTCATAAAATCGAAGGAACGCAGCTATTATCCAGAATTCCTTAAGGGCCGATTACACAATTTTGTGAGTCATATGTAAAGAGATTTTATCATATTTTATATTTGTAAAGCATACTTTGAGAAGCTCCCATCAATTTTTAGACTAGTATTTTATTATATCCTCTACCATAGCGTGAAGGGTATATTACGTTTGTCATTCCGTTTGTAACATCTCGATATATGCTTTGTAGACCCCACACACTATATATTCTTGATCAGCATAAAATTCTATGTCGATTTAGCGGTGTAAGTCCGTCCGTCTGTGAAAATCACTCTAGCTTCCGAACGAAATGAAGTAAGTTGATAAAATTTTACTCAAATGCATATCATGTCTGCAGGACTTTTAGTATTGAAAATAGGTCATGTAGGTCCACGCCTGCGTATAGCCCCAATATAACGGCACCTCCGATATTCGGTATTTTGATGATTTTAGCGAATTTATTCACCGGAATCTTTTCAAATTTGGTATTTAGAGTTCGAAATGTATATTACAGCCTATGACAGAAAATTGTGTGTGCAGGTCCACGTCTTCATATAGCCCCCATATAACGGTACCTCCCGATATTCGGTATTTTAATGATTTTAGAGACATTTTCACCAGAATTGTTTCAAACTAGGTACTTGAAGTTCGAAATGTATCTTGCAGCCTATGACAGAAAATTGTCTGTGCAGGTCCATATCTTCATATGGCCCTCATATAACGTTACCTCCCGATATTCGGTATTTTGATGAATTTAGCGACATTATTCACCGGAATTGTTTCAAATTTGGTACTTGAAGTTCGAAATGTATATTACAGCCTACGACAGAAAATTGTCTGTGCAAGTCCACATCTTCGTATGGCCCTGATATAAAGCTACCTCCGATATTCGGTATTTTGATGATTTTAGCGAATTATTCACCGGAATTTTTCAAATTTGGTATTTAAAGTTCGTAATGTATATTACAGCCTATGACAGAAAATTGTCTGTGCAGGTCCACGTTTTCGTATAGTCCCCATAAAACGGTACCTCCCAATATTCGGCATTTTAATGATTTTAGGGACATTTTTCACCGGAATTGTTTCAAATTTGCAGTTCGTAATGGATACTACAGCCTAAGACAGAAAATTGTCTGTGCAGGTCCACATCTTCCTAGAGCCCCCATATAAAGGTACCACCCGATATTCGGTATTTTGATGATTTAAGCCACATTATTCACCGGAATAGTTTCAAATTTGATATTTGAAGTTCGTAATGGATACTACAACCTGAGACAAAAAATTGTCTGTGCAGGTCCAGGTCTTCGTAAAGCCCCCTTATAACGGTACCTCCCGATATTCGGTATTTTGATGATTTAAGCGATATTATTCACCGGAATTGTTTCGAACCTCGTATTTAGGGTTCATAATGGGAAGTCTACGACAGAAAATAGTCTGTGCTGATCCATGTTTTGGTATAGGCCCCGTATAATGGTACCTCCCCTTATTTCGTATTTTGATGATTTTGGATACATTATTTTTAGTTCCGCATTTGAATATTGCAATTTGAATGACTGCTACATTTTTAAGATTTGAACAGAATTTTTAACGGATTTAATTTTTTACTTATTTATTTTATTTATTTATTTATTTATTTTTTTGAAAAATGACAAATTCCTTCCAAATGATGGAGGGTATCTAAAGTTTTTAAAGCTTTTTAGTTTGTTTATATTAGTTTCTGCCACACCCTAAAGTGATTCTTTTTAGATTAAACATTCTGGGTAATGTCCATGGTAGAAGAATACAGGTAAATATTGTCAAAATGTCAAAAAAGTTAAAAAAATCTACAAAATTAAATTGAATTCTATTTTTTTATAAGAGTCGGTCAGATATTGTTAAGAGATGATTTTTTTTTAACAAATTTTAATAATTTTTCATTCCATGTTTTGAAAGTTTTGCTGTATTGATGAG